TACAAGGTGCTGCTGGAGTGTGACCTTGTGTTGGGACTAGTGATCATGAAAGTTGTTGTCACTCTGCCTCTGATAAAATCATAGAATCCCTCCAGTGTGGAAGCAGGCCATTCAGCCTATTGAGTCCACACTACTCTTCCGGACAGGATCCCACCCAGACCCACCTCCTCACCCTATCCCTGTAACCCTGCATTTTCCATGGCTAACATCAATGACTTGCATAATAGCATTCCCAATGGCTTCCAAGAAAACTACTGAGGAGGGAGACCAACAAATGCCTGTCATTTTCCCTGACTGTGTGGTCTGTCAGATTATCAGATTACTTTTTGGGAGTTTAAAAGACTCCAAGCAGGTAATAAATAGAACTTTCTTGATAGCAGCCCAACAAGTTGACCCATTGTTAAAATCACTAGCTCAGGCTGCTTACACTGGAGCTAAGGTAGAAGCAGTACTTCGGTGCTCCAACATTAAAAATGAAGTGCTGGTGAGAAAATGTAGACCTCTTCACTGATCTGCAAAAGAGGAGCAGACAGTGATTCACCAGGTAGTGGAGCCAGCAGGGTACTGTAGGCAATACTGTGGCTAAGTCATGAAATTCTGATGACGAGGCATGTCAGTGTATACAAAACACAAGCCCATATCAGCTAACATTTCTACTGGTCACAGCTTCATAGGAATGTATAAAGGTTTTCAGAATCTACTGCACTTTCAGCTTGTAGGAAAACCCTGACCTGCAATAAAACCTGCACCTGATTCCCCCAACCAGTTTTTAGGGATGTATTCAACAAAGTGTTAATGGGCTAGGTGGGACTCTAGCTCAAAATAAGAGGGGGATACCAGTGTATCCTTACTGTCACAGACATGGTTATTCTCCTGAGAACCACTATCCAGCAAAACGGTGGTGGGGGAACTGATCCAATTCTTTACCTTGTATGGCCTGCCCCATTGTCTCAAGACAGTTTTACAATTCTCATCTTTGTGTTCCCATCTCTCTGTGATCATGTACTTCCCTATTTCTATCACTTTATCATCCACTACAACTTCCCAAGTTCTCTGCACTCCTCCAATTCTGGCCAATTGTGCATCTCTGATTTCCTTTGTTCCACCATTGATGGATGTGCATTTAGTTAATTGTCTAAGCTCTGACTCTAAAACTATGCCCTTGTGCAAAAAATCTCTTACTTGAGAATAGGCTGCAGGATGCCAACTGGACAGATTCTCACCATTGTTTAAATCATTTCACATCAATGGTTTCCTCTCTCCCCCATGATATGAAAGGAGGAACATGGGGTGAATTTGCCAGAAATTGTTACTCCAATGACCTATTCAGTCAAATAAATGTCACTTCAATCTCGAGGCAAACATTCAAATAGAAAAACGCAGCAGGTTTGGCTGCATCTGTGAGGAAAAATCAGAGTTAACGTTTCGTTCTGGGGAAGGGTCACTGGACCCCAAACGTTAACTCTGATTTATTTTCCTTACAGATGCTGCCAGACCTGCTGAGTTTTTCCAGCAACTCCTGTTTTTGTTGCTGATTCACAGCATTCACAGTTCTTTCAGTTTTTGTCAAACATTCAAATGTCTTACTCCCCTGTTACCATTTTAACATGCATCAATATTCGCATCAGCTAAGTGCAAGTTTAAAATTTACATTAAATATTTAACAATTCAAGTCTCCTACATCACTGCCTTAACAATGAAACAGGCTGATGTCATGTAGAAGAGGCTGAAAGATTGTCAAACACTTCAAGAATTTTACATGTTATGTGTTTTGCTATCGTTTATGGAATTATTGCGAAGTTCATCATTGGGATTCAGTTGGGTGAGGTGGCTGCGTGGCTGTGTGTTCAATTCCCCCACAGGCTGAAATTCCCATAAGTGACTCTCCTTCTCAACCTCTCCCTTTGTCTGTGGCGTGGTGACCCACAGGTTAAACCACCACCGTCATCTGTCTCTCTCAATTGAGAGAGCAATGCTATGGTCTGGTAGGGCGATGGGAAAGTTTGTGATCTTGTTTCAGAGGTTTTACTTCTTTTTAATTAAAGGCATACTTCTTAATTTTTAGAACAGATAAGGAAACGTGTTTCTATTGCAGATATTTTCATATTCAAGGTTAAAAATATAGATTAAATATTTGATCAAAAAACAATGTCATGAATAGTTTGCATCAAATGAAGTTATCAACAAATATTAGCGACCACCCTGAAGAAAACGCTATTGTTTCACCATTGAGATGCATTAGCTCACGAACTCACATCTCTCACCTTTGCTGCTCTCTCCCTTGTAATATATACAGTATGAAATGTTTTTCTTTTCGGAAAAAAATCGAAAAGAAGTTTTATGCAGGTTGATAATGTTGTCTTGGTATAAAACCCGCAGTTCGACTGTCAGGTTATCACAGCATTTCACACACCACCTAGCGGTACACACTGTCCTGCGCCCGCACTTTGACACAGACACGGACTTCAATAGGTGCCAACAGGAACCTTTACTGAACTCTTCAGAAGCTGACATCTACCTGCACGCCGACAGATTGATCACCAAACGGTAGCTTTACCGGCAATATTTTCAGGTCACGTTGACATAATGAGATATAACTCAAATGAGTCGAAAGAACTTTTGTGTAAGTAACACTTCGTGGCTTTCGATTAAGAGGTAATAACAACAAACACTTCACACCTTCATTAAACAAACATTTGTCAACTTCAGGATATGTGTAGAATACAATTTGCAGTTTACAGCAACAACTCTAATCATTAAATATCCTTAATGTGCCGTGCGACAGCTGCCAAATCAAAATTAAATATTCCATATGGACACATGGTACTAAACAAGTAAAATGCCTCGTTTAAATAACTTCTGCACAACAAACTTTACAACTTGATAATTATGCATGCTTGTCTACGTTTCGGTTAAAAATAGTAAACAAAGCGAAGAAATTCTACAATTTATTTTCAATCACAAGTGCATTATTACAAAGAATACAGAATAGCTAGAATCCAGTAATGAATGCACCGTACCTCTTTGCAAATTGGAAGGTTTTCTCCTGACTGGTCCTGCAGGCTTGATATTTGCTGAGGTAATAATAGAAAACCTGTTGAGAAAAACAAAACACAAAGGAACAGACGAGGAAACGAGGTATTCCCATTCATGACTAGTCAGCTTGAGAGATAAATGTTGTGGACAATAAAATTGCAGAGAGTCTGGGGGATAGCAGACTCTCTCTCTCTCTTCCTCCTGGGTTGCCACGCCGTGCCTCCGACTTGTCAAATTGCGGGCACGGTGGAACTGAACTGGTGTCGCTGGGTCACGACTATTCGTCAGTTGGCGGAAATTAGCGGAAATTGCCGAGACACACAGACAAACAGCGCAAGTGGCAGCGCGCTGCCTTCTCAAGACGGACGGAAAAAACAGTTGAGGCGGTGCGTCTTTCCCGTGGGCTCTCCACACCAGACAACAAATGCAGCAAAGTTCTGTCTCATCTTCGAAATGACCATGCAGCGTCTGCGTCCGGCGTAAAACATTGTTGCACTACATCATTCCAATATTGTGCAATAGGAGCGGACAAGAGGGACATGACAAGTGAGTGCTTTGAGTCTTTAAAATAGGAATTCGACATTCTGTCCTTTAAATAATTCACATTCTGAGCACTGAATCTAAACGGGTCACCTTTGAAATTCTATTTCGATTCCAAACAAGCAGAACGTAAAACTAAACAACTGATAGAACGATAGAATAGAATGGTCTATCGTCTGGTTAGATTTAAACTGCCCCTAAAATACATGTCCTCATTGTTCAAAAATGATCACTTTAAGCTGAACACACACATCACCAGTGGGATTCAGTAACCAATAGTATGCGAGGATTTTGTCTTGTTATTTTTAGCAGCATGTCCATCAGATACCTTGCTGAATCCATTTAGGTGTAATAATTCTTCCTTCAAATCATTGGCATTTTCATAGGGACTATCGATATTGGAGCGGGAGTAGGCTATTCGACCTCTTTATCCCGCTTCACCACTCAACTGAATTATGACCTTCTGCCTCAATATTTCCCTCAACTATCCCCAAACCCCTTAATATGTTGTTTAAGTAGAAAGCTAACCATCTCTTACTTGAATATACTCAGTGACAGAGCCCCATTCCTCTGGAGTGGAGATTGCTGAAAATTTACCATCCTCCTTCACACAGAAGATGGTTAATATATGGGGCGTGGATGGGAATGCGGCATGAGGAGTACAAACAGATCACCTATGATCTTATTGAATGGCACAGCAGGATCGAGGGGAAGAACGGTCTACTTCTGCTCCTGTTTCAGATTGGCGATGGAACCAAAGACTCTGAAGACACACAGGAAACAGTTAAATGTTGTTAGTGAAGAAAATTTCTACAGAAGTATGAGCTCAATAGTCTAAGTGACCTATCTCATGTTTGTAATATAATATGAAATCACTTGAGCTGTCACACACAGGAGAGGTAAGTTTTTTTTAAATTTCAGTGTTCTGACTGAATTGACTTTATATTAGCTTCATCTGCCTTTCATGTGGATGTAATGATTACATCATTTTTTTGTCATCTCCACCCAAAACGTCAGCTTTCCTGCTCTTGCAATGCTGCCTGCCCTGCTGTGTTCCTCCAGCTCCACACCTTGTTATCTAAATAAATGAGAATTTGTTTCTTTTCCTTCAGTTATGTTTGTAGACTATTGTGTACTATAGAGTGGAAACTAACCTTAGAGTGCTGCTTATTTGCATTTGCCAACAACTTTACTCCCTAATAATAGAGTCGTTGAGTCATACAGCATGATAAACAGACCCTTCAGTCCAACTAGTCTATGCCAACTATGTTCCCAAACTAAACTAGTCCCACCTGCCTGCGTTTGGCCTGTATCCGTCTAAACCTTACCTATTCATTTTTCTTTATTCTTTATTGATTCACAGGATGAGGGCGTTGCTGGCCCGGCAGCATTTATTACCCATCCCTAATTGCCCAGAGGGAAATTGAGAGTCAACCAAAATGCTGTGGGTCTGGAGTCACACGCAGGCCTGACCAAGTAAGGATGGCAGTTTCTTTCCCTAAAGGACATTAGTGAACCAGATGGGTTTTCCCGACAATTGGCAATGGATTTATGGTCATCATTAGATTCTCAATTCCAGATATTTACTGAATTCAAATTCCATCTCCTGCTGTGGCGCTAATTTGAACACAGGTCCCCAGAACTTTATCTGGGTCTCTGGATTAACAGTCCAGCAATAATATCATTAGGCCATCATCTCCCCTTTTATTTAAGTGCTTATCCAAATGTCTTTTAAATATTGTAACTGTATCTGCACCCATCACTTCCTCTGGCAGTTCATTTCAGACATGAACCACTCTCTGTGTAAAAAAAATGCCTCTCGTCATGTTAAAAACTTTTTCCTCTCACCTTAAAAACATGCCCCCTAGTTTTGAACTCCCTCACCTGAGGGAAAAGACCCTTGATATTTGCCTTATCTTTGCCCCTCATGATTTTATAAACCTCTATAAGGCCACCCTTTAACCTCCTACGCTCCAGTGAAAAAGGTCCCAGCCTATTTTTAGAACTCAAACCCTCCATTCCCGGCAACATCCTGGTAAATCTTTTCTGAGCCTTCTTCCAATTTAATAATTTCCTTGTTATAGCAGCGTGACCAGAACTGTGCACAATACTCCAGAAGAGGCATCACCAACATCCTGTATAACCTCAACATGATGTTCCAACTCCTATACTCAAATTAGTGTTTCTTCATTGTTCTTCTGAACTAAAAGAATAATTACCATGAACATCGATGCTAAACATGCAATAGTATCTTTACCACAGTAATCACACTTCATTAGTGAACTACTCAACACTGTTAGATGGATGGACTGCAGAAAAAAGAAGTGACTATGAAAATTTAACTTGAATTAAAATACTCTTCTTCCAGTTTGACAAGCAGTGTTGATAACTGTACACTTAGCCTCACAACAAATATTTGCTGTTTTGCCATAAGAATTCCTTTATATATTGTCTCACGTCTATAATATAAATCAATCATTATATAATTGTATAGGCTTTGTAATATTCATTAAGAATATAAATTGATGGCTGCATAAATATTTGTCCAAAAAAACAAATTAATGGTTGAAAAACATTAGTAAGTATCCATGATCAAGACTCAATGAAGAGTATTGTATTATAATAAAGATGATTATACCCATTGGAACATTGTGATTCTGGCCCTGATGGGACAATGGGTACATGTTGTATAAGAAACCATTCCAGAGATTTTAAAGTGAAATTTGATATCTTGAAGTCTTTCATGTCAGAATTTGGAATTTGACATTTAATTAGTCACCTTTCTCAAACCAATAAATAAGTTAAATAGAATTTATGATAATCTAAAATACACATAGACTATTTCCAGGAACAAATCTAATGTATTGAAAGGCATTTTGACATGCAAATTTTATTGGCCTGAATTGTGCAATCAGAAATGAAAGCATGGTACCCAATGTTCCTTATGTTTACAGGTTCCTGCAAATTTGTAATGGGTTTTTGAACAACCACTTACGACTACTAGAGATTCCTTTCAGTTCAGCACCCTCTACAGGAGTTCTAGGATTATATGAGCAGTGGATGCAACCACATGCTTCTTTAACCAATTGGATTGAGGCAAGTGCACGTGCAATGGGTTAGGATCATGTGGTAGCATTAAGATGATGTCATGGAGTTGCGCATCACCGAGTGAAAAATACCACTGTGTGAGCAGAGTTAGAATACTCTGGAAGAAACAGAACCAGAACGATCACTCTGGTAGACACACTATAATGAAACTCTCTGGAAGAAACACAGAGATCACATGAACTTGAACACACAAATAAAGTAGATTAATCCATGTCTAATGTAGCTAAAATTTAATGCTTACCATATATCACAAGATTTAGTATGTCGAGAAAACAGAGTGTTACTTTGAAGTCTAGGCTTGAAGATAGTCCTTGACTTTGTATTCTCCTCAATTAGTGTGGAAAGAACCCAAACTCATAGTGCAGCATCAAAGCACATGATAAAACATGATGGCAGCTAGAATTCACCTCCTAGAAAATCATGATGGCAGCAAAGATCAAAAAATTAACCTGAGAGCTTCTGGAGACGAAATAGTTCAAAAATATGGCAATATAACTTTAAGACCAGCAACAGCTAAAAAAAAAGCCACAATGCTGAATAGCTGCTATGAAGGAAATATCCTTGAATAGAAACTCCTCAAAGTAACCACTAGAACAATTTAAGTTCAAAAAATGCCTTTTACAGCCAGTAATAGGGGTGAGATCAGTAAAAGCTCACTAGCTGCTAAGGAGAAAAATCTGAATTATATACCTGAGAAAAGATGCTGATAATCAAACACCCAAAGGAGATACAATCAATTTGAGGAAAAGGCCATAAAAGTCCATTTTCACCTGGAAAAACTAGGCCAAGGAGCAGTTAAGACATCTAAAAATGATTTTAAAAATTAACATCTATAGTGTTAGCTCAGTTGAGATCATCTATATAAACACAGTCCACAAATTAAGCCTAATACTCCTGCGTCTGTATAGTTTATTACCATACTGTGTTGTACATTTATCCATTGCACTATCACAAAAAGCATAACATGGTAAAAACATTGTTGTTAGGATTTAAACAATACAAAATTATTGAAGCAAAACTGAGTTGTTAAACATTTAGAAGTGAGGTCTTATTAATTAGGCAATCAAAGCTCAAGTATATTTATATTTTAGATGTCTGCATTTTCAGTGCTCCAGTGAACAATCTAGGGTGATAGTTAAAAGATTGCAAAGTCATTGAGTACTAAAAGTCTGAATTGAAATAAAAAGCAATATCAAGAAAATCCATTGTTAGTACATTCCAATCAGATCCTTTGTGATGAAATTTAATTTTCAAAAATTACTTTTCAATATTCCTCAAATTCTGTGAAAACCAATTACTCTAATATCAGCTATATATCAAAAAAGATACATGTTTTTGTAAATAATCAGTATGTCATTTTATTCCAGAAAGATGGACAATAATTCTAAGACAGTTGTGAATAAATATGGCAAATAATTCAAGAAGAAACCTCTTTAAAAAGCAAATGTTAAGAATGCAAAACGTCCATTTGGAGCATTAGAGTCCTGAGGTGAATAGAAAAGATGATTTTCAAGGGAAGCTAACTAAGTATGTGAGGGAGAATGGGGTGTACCAATATGTAGATAAAAGTAGCATGATGTGGGAGGAGGCATTTGGAGCATAAACAGCAGTATACAACAGTTAGGTTAAAATGTCTGTTTCTGTGCTGTGCATAGTTTAGTAACACATTGAGGTATAAATCTTCACTCAAACCCTGAACATTGAGGTACGCTTATCCACTGAGTCACTACATAGTAGAAACAATACGTTTTAGGATTTATACATAGCAAAATTATAAAATCAAAACCGTAAATTCTACACAATTGCACTTAATTTAACATAAATAAATATTTATTAAATTAATCAAACTTACATTCAAAATATTTCTACCCGCACCCAATATTTTATTACTTTTTGAAATTCAATTAAAATGCATGCTATATATTGACTAGTAATCACATAAAATAGTCAAGTTTTGCAAGTTCTATTTTCTGAAAAGTTGGTCTTTGTTCTGTATTCACATATTTTTGATATTAACCATGGTGGATGGAATAGCTAGAGATTCCGACTTCCCTAGATCCACTTGGATATTTGCACATTCAACAAATTAGGTAATGTTGTCATATTAAGTGGTATGTATCAATACAAAAATAAATCAGTTAGTATTAACCCATTGAGAACTGAATTTCTGTTAATTTTCAAATGGCACTGCTGCTAAAATATAGGTACTTCTTGCAACAATGAGTTGATAAAATTGATGGTGTTAAGTCAGTCATTTTGAAATATTTCTGTGTAGGGTACAGAGTGCAACATTGGCATTATCAGTAACCCTCTGTTGTAAAGTCTGTAGCCTCAAGTCAGCCACGCAACTGAAGCAATACTATAGTTGTGTATATTTTTAACATAAAGGGATAAAAATAAATAACTCAGATGAGAAGAAATAGAGAAAGAAGTTATAGAGAGAAAGAAAATATCTAATTCAGAATGCTTGAAACATTGCATACGAATTCACAACAGTGTTAAATGGACAGAAATTAGACCCCACAAAACCTCTGAGTTCCACTATGGACCCTGAAAGGTTCTTATGTTCCAGTTTGAAAACTTAGAATGATGTTGGAAATGCAGCATGCCAAGCTTATCGCTAATGAAAGATAGATTAATGTTTATAGCTGACAGCCATTTGTTAAATTGCTTTATGTTTCACTGAAATACCAGTACAGCCATTGTTTCAGATGCTGGCAGAACTGCTGTGAATCTGTGGACATTTTGTTTCCTCATGCATTTTCTTCAGCAGTATAACAGTCTTTCCAATTACACCATGCCACTCCATAACTTCTAGGCACTATATAGATATATTGAACTTACACTTGTTTAAAATAAGTTAGTTCAATTTAAAAGTTCACTCACTGCATCCAGGAAGCTTCTGCCTTGTCAAGGAACCTGATTCAAAAGCAAACCATTTCCAACAGCCAAATCAAATAAGCATCTTTAAAATTAATTAATACTTCCCTTGCATAAAGAAATTATTACTGCCACTTCCCAGCTGGAGATATTTCTGCATTCTTTAGGTTATTCATGTCAGTATGTATATTAACATGACACCGCACATATGTCCCATGAAATATTCTTCATATTTCCCAGAAATAAGGTTGCTAATCTTTTGAATCAAACTATTTTCTTTGAAAATCCATTTAAATAGGTTTAAAATAAAGTGTCATAACCTTATTTTATTTCCATGAAAACTATGGTGACAAAACTGAAGCATTTTATTGATAACATATCCTTGTAATGGTTTTCTGTCCCTGTATGCATGGAGTTAAAAAGAACAACTTCACAATAGAAGATGGGTTGGGTTGTTTTAATATGAAATAGCACCAGAACTGATATTA